TTGCAATGATACAGAAATGTCCTTGTTTGCTCTTCTCTACACTGTAGGAGGTTAGCTTTAACCAATCTCTCGTATAGCTGTGTAAACTTCACATCTCCCTGGACGACGTCAATTGCGTACCAGTCTACAACAATCCCTCAGTTTTTCCTCTGAACTTTTATACTCACGTATCCCCGGCAACGCAATACGCATGTGCAGAAGATCATTTACGACAAAATTGGCACGTTTTTACATAGTCCAAAAAAAGTTTTACGACAAGCCGGCGCTTTGCGACAATATGAGTGCGGCAAGTTCCGGACAGAAAACCGATCTGTGGAGACTCGTCGTCGGAGATTTTTTTTTTTTTTTTTTTTGAGAACAGGCGAAAACTAATGCGCGCGTGGATGTCATCCATAAAATTAAGTCGGTGTGGCCTAATGTAAACACGTATGTGACAAAAAAATAAATGGTAGAAAAAAAAGTACGATATTTGAAGCACCCCACGGGTCTTATGTAATTGCGTGCTCTCCAAACAATCGCGGAATGGAACAGTACACGTAAATTTTATTAAAGATTTTGTTTTATTTTAAGCATAACGCATACAATTATTTTTTTAATTTGACTGTTTTATATTTATTTCGAAACAACGTATTATACTAACAGCCGAAGATGCACACTTTCGTCACTACATCCAAAACAACTTCTTTTGTTTGTTAGAAAGATATAATAAATACATTATATGAAGATATGAATAGGTGTTAAAGTTGTTTGAAACATATATAAATATATAAACAAGAATTACATGTCTGCCAAAATAAAATTGTACGGTTACCAGAATTTCCGCTGTAGCATTTATAGCCGTTAGTATTTTAAATTTCCGCCCAGTAACAATCTATTGTAAATGGATTAATTATTCACGGGGTTTTATTATAACACTACTTCAATTTTTTTTTTCTCTGATAAGAAAACTATGTGAACATGTAAAATGAAAAAATAGAATTCACTGTTTCATTGGCAGATTCGTGAACTTAAAACGCAGTTAATTTGCTCAGAATACTAAAATACCTGGTAGTTACATTTAATGCTAGTAAAATAAAAAGGTTTACAATACTTTTGGATACACATAGAATGATGTACCTTTCACAAAATAAAGAATTTTTGTTTTCATATTTTTCTCCAAATTTTGATCAAACCTATAGCTATTAGAAAACTGTGTCCATTTAGCTCGAAATTATCCAAAAACTGATAGAAAAATTCACAAAACAATACTACATGTTCCACCAAAATTTTAGTGGAAATAAATATGGCACCCAAACGGACGATTCAGTTTGAGGTTGAAAACAGCATATGAATTAGGTAATTTACATAAATTAGCATATAACTATTTAAGTCGTATTCAAAATCAAAAGGACTGTAATTAAACTTGAATGAGCTTGAGAATTTAGTTAGACACCTTGGGTATAATAATTCTGCTGGTGTTGGGACTTTTAAACATATCGCAAAAATTACAGATTAGTTGAATTAGCTAAAATAACATGCTAACTAAAAAGACATGATTTACAGTATATCAAAGGACAAGGTACAGAATAGAGTCATTTATCATTTCGCTTGCTGATATATTTAATATCGTAATATGACTTTATCATTGAACTTTGAACGATAACGGTCTGACCTGTTAGAATGATATTTTAGTAAATGTTATCGTTAAACAAATCACAATAACTTAGATGTCATCAAATCAAAATGGCGCATATTCGTATTTCTGTTCTTTTCGCTATTATTCTGGCCTTGGTATTTACGGCGTTAGCTACGAAGAGTAAGGTCTTACTCGTTTCCTTTGACGGTTTTCGGTACGATTATCTTGATGATGTCGACACGCCAAACTTCGATGCCATGAAAAACGAGGGCGTCAAGGCGGAGTATGTTACTCCAGTGTTTGTGACTCTGACTCTGCCGTCACACTTCACCATAGTAACAGGCAAGTACTGAGAGATTACGAGACGCGGCGGCCGAGTCGTATTATGACTGGGTGAAGTTTGTTATTTAAAAACATTTACATTTCGCTTCGTCTCGTTTCAAATTATGCGTGTTCAGTTATTGAAACCCAAGCACTGCATCAGCTCCGTTGACTTCAGCTGAGCTTGTCACATGTGCACCATCGTACGTTACAGGTAAGGCGTATCTATACGTATTTATAAATAAGTCGCGAGTTACAAGCATTTGGTATTGTTATGTATTTAGTTTTGACATGTGGGCTAACAGTAAAGAAATATAATTAAGCCGTATTTTTAACGTGCGAGCTAAAATTAAATGCATACAAACAAATACGCCATGTTTGTAACGCACGAGTTATTAGAAATACATATAAATATGCTCACTTTTTAATGTACGAGTTAAAATTAAATATGTTAATACTTTTAATATAAATAACTGAAAGAACTAAACCGATAAGATGTAAAACATGTCTGTAGCCGAAACCTCCGTGGCTGAAACTTCCGTTCACCGAGCTTACCTTGTACGAGTACAACAGATTGTCTACCGTCCGTCGTCCGTCGTCTGGTGTCTTCTTTCACTGTTATATTGTTGATGTGTCTATGTGTATCTTAATGGGAGGACCTCGTCGTTTATTTAAATATTACTGTTCTTGGCGAAGAGTTTTGTGATTTTTTGTCAAAAATGTTATTTTGTGTTTCGGAAAATGCTTAAAGCGGGAGGGTCGTCACCTGAGCGATGACAAATAACACATGCTAGAATCGCAAAGGCTCATGGGTAGGCGCTTTTTGTAAACAATGACACGCTATGGCCATCTGACGCATGCGCAGGTGATGACTCCCCCGCTTTAACAATACAGATGGTATTGACATGGCGACGTGTAAAAACGCGACCACATTCAAATTTATTAAGTCATACAAATATTTATTTTTTATGATGACATTATTGTCTAATAGGAGTAATCATTGTGATATTGTCGGGAATAATTTGTCTCCTTTGAGCCAGACAAGCGAAATCTGATGATCACCGTGACGGTAAAATACTATTGCTCCAGTAATTCACATACAAATATAGTTCGGCAGGTATGGCATGAGTTGACATGTGTCTGTGTTAGTGAGCCGGGTGTTTAAACTTATCACCACCACTAACTTGTAGCCGTCCGCAAAGTAGTACTTTATTTCAGCTGTCACTGGAAACATGAAATTTCTACAATAATTTGTCAGTCCTAGTATTTAACGAACAAATGTCAAAAATCACACTTTTCATAATTTTTTACACTCAGCTTATTTGAATTGTCGCGATTTTTATATTTATACGCGGTTATACAGTGGCCCATCATAGCCTAAAAGAGATAGGAGTTGCGCCCGCAGCCGACCATCAAACCAATTCGCAAGTCGTTGATTGAGGGCGCGTTACTCACACGACGATATTAGACTTGGCACATGTGCGAGACCCTTCGTTACACCTCATCTTGATGATTCATATTTACTTTTTTCATATCACATTATTTCGTTACAGGCATTTTTAGAGAGAAAAGTCATTCTGTGTATGACGTCATGATCTCGTCATTAGTTTGACCTGCAACTGAATTTCATACTTTCTGTTTTATTTTTACCGAACCTGTTTTATGAATGTCTGTGGGTCCGCAAGAATCACTAATGTAAGGAAAATATTAAACTTCGGTCTGACCTTCCCGTCACTTCCTGCTGAAACACCACAGTTTTTCGCGAAGTCGTGCGTTATCGCGCGACTTCGTGGACATTTTCTTATCTTCCCCAGTTGTTTATAAGATTAAAACGTTATCGCAAAAGTAAACCCAAGACATAGGTTAGATAAAAAAAATACTCGCCTTGCCAGTATGTTTATTAGTGGTCTGAGTATAAACTGAGTTGAAAAAAAAGTTGAAAGTTTGTGAACTTTGAAAAACGATCAAGGCGGGTATATGTATATAATCCCAAGGTAGCTGAGTGTTAAGGGCGGTAGTCGTCGCGCCACGCATGCGCGAGATATAGGGGTCCATATAAACAAAGTTGGCGACTTTGACTGTTGCGCAGATCAACGAGTACAAACTGAAACGTTATCGAAGGAGTCACCGATGGTAATTAGTGCAAGTCACGCTCAGGTAAAACCTCATAGTTGTGATTATCAATGTTTATCAACACAAATGTCGCACATGCGCAGCACGACGACTGCCGCAATTTAAGCATATATGCAAGGCAGTATTTGATACGTCGAAAACACGGTCACAAACCAACTTTCTGATTGGTCTGACTGTTAGCTGTTAGGGTTGGGTAAGGATGGGGCACTATTTTGTAAGTAGCTTCGCACCGACTCGGAAAACGGCGTTTCACACCCTACATGTACTAACTTTCAGACCTAATTTGTCGGAAGCAATCTTACGACTTTAGTGACGTGAATGTATGTATCCGATAGGTCTGTGGGCAGAGAGTCACGGAGTAATCCACAATATCATGTACGACCCGATTTACAACGAAACGCTGACTTCGGAAACCAGGAACGAATCGAAATGGTGGGACATGGGTGCAGAGCCCATATGGCAGACAGCAAGGTTTCAAAACAAAACTAGTGGGAGTTATTTTTATTACGGCGGAGACGTTGAAATTAAGGTAAGTGCGCCCCTTTTGCAACATTGTTTATAAGGACTGCGAGTGCCCTCTGTCGACGTTTATTGCACATCTTATGGTAACCAGTTTCTTACTTGCTCGTTCTAGTCCACCCATTTTTAAAAAATCACATGACAATATGTACTGTAAAAATAACTGACCATTTATAATATATGCAAGCCCATTTATACCCCCTCCCAATCACCAAGATTTAAAGAGGGAAATCACCAATCACCAGGAATTCCAATTACCTATTCACCAATCACCAGGAATTTCAATTACCTATTCACCAATCACCAGGAATTCCAATTACCTATTCACCAATCACCAGGAATTCCAATTACATATTCACCAATCACCAGGAATTCCAATTACCTATTCACCAATCACCAGGAATTCCAATTACATATTCACCAATCACCAGGAATTACAATTACATATTCACCAATGACCAGGAATTCCAATTACCTATTCACCAATCACCAGGGATTGTTGTTGAATATAAAAGCATTTATTGAAGATATTTGACATTAACTTGTCAGACCTAGTAGTTAGACATACATTTCTTAACTGATCTTTCTATCTATCTATCTATCTCCTATGTTTCTAAACTGCTGTTTTCATCATTACTGTAGTCGTCCCTTTGTGCAACAGTTTCCCCAGTTGCTTTCTGTTCAAGGGCCAACCTGCTGCCAACCTGCTTCTCTTTTTTCAGAAATTCGTGAAATGTCACTTTTTTCGTGTTATCTACTTCCTCAGTTTCTGAACCACTGTTTTCATCACTACTATATTCTATTCTCTGCTCATCATTTTTCTCAGATGTGTCCTTCTCAATAGCTGACCCGTCTGACAAATCAGGTCTCCCTCTATGCACTGTTTCACCAATTCGATTCAGTGACAATGTACCTGCCTTTACTTAGTGTTTACTTGTCAGATTGATCTTTGTCTAACAACTTTCCCATTGTCAACAGCCGAATTTCTCATTTTCTCTTGATCCTATTTTCTCATGCATACAACTGGTAATGGTTGGAGCTTTGGAATGTCTCAAAATAAAACTTGGTTTGTGGCTGGTGGATAAAACGATGAGCGATTGGTGAAGTAATAGACTGACCAATTACATGATCTTTTCAAACTTTCTTTAATCGTGTTCTCAAATGATCTGGCATACTGATACAAAATAAACAACTAAATTAAGTAAAGATGACGAAAAATAGTTTGTCAAATAAATATAATATTAAAGAAAGCTTAGAAAGAACTCTCGTGTGCTGAGTAATGGAGACACATTACAAATTAATTCAAAATTACTTGTACTTAAGATATTGATGGAAAAGCTTAAAACTAATTATGCAAATCAGATAATTAATATGAACAGATTTGGGTGTAAAACTAATAAGGTCTGTGCAATGTAACAGACCATCCATGTAACAAGTGTCATTTAAATGAGATTAGAACCCCAACAAATATACTATATTATGCTAATCAGGGAATTAATATCAACCGATTTTAACCTAAAACTAATCAGGTTTGTACATTGCACATATAGCCAAATAATGACTTTAACGCGTGATCTAGAAATGAATAGAAATCAGTAAATATGAGGGGAAGGGGGTTCATAGGTATGAAAATAATTTGCACATTAAAAATTGTTCTCAAATGAATAATTCAAAATTAATTCTAATAATATACATCCCTGTAGAACAGGAGAAAACGCTTTGACATTTTTTCCTTATCTACTATACATTATTAAAAGTGGTGAACCCTTTAATATTCCATTGGAAAACTATGACGAAATAAGGAATCGATAAACAATAGGAAAATTCAGAAGAAAACTATAATTTATCATGTAATAAAGCGTGTTAGCATTAAAAGACGTACATGAAACCTTAAGTATTTCCTAGACACACCAGCAAACCACAGGCGCTCGGAACGTTTCTTTGATAATAAAAAATTACCTAAAATAGGGTCGGCATAGTTAGTCAGTCGCCGATACATTCGCCCACCACTCATATAATAACAAGGACGGCGCCAGCGAAATTCGAAAGCCAACTGTTTAGTCAAAACCCAAGCAGTTAGCCAATTCGCTAGCGAATTTGCAAATTGGCTGCCCAATACTTCTGAGACTTGCTGATTGGTAAAAGATCACCATGCACTTCAAAGAATTGACCAATGGGAATAACTCTCTCATACTAAAAGTACACGAGTGTATAAAAAAAAAAAAAAACCCTCAGGTGTACCGATTTTAAACTATTGGTGGCGCAATTCAGCGTACAATACAGAGAACGGGAAATAAAGTCAAAGAACGCGTAACGCGAAATTAAAAGTTGCGAGAACGTATCACCGGGAATTCATTACACCCAATAACGTAGAACGAGAAATTAGCTGAGAACGCGAATCACCATGAATTAAAAATCCCGAGAACGGATCACCAGGAATTAAAAAGCCCTCATAACGGATAACGAAAAAAGTATAAAGGGGCCTGTATATGGAGCATAGACAACCGTGGACTATGATATAATGCTCACTGGACGGGGTCACATCAATGTACACAACAGATTAAAGCTGAAGCGAACTGTAAATTATTTAGCTGAACTTTAAAAAATCGTGCAGTGAATATACAAACATTACTAACACACCTTTGCGCTTTGGTAAATCTTTCATACGTCAGAACTTTACAAAACAAATTGCATCGGCCGGGAATCGAACCCGGGCCTCCCGCGTGGCAGGCGAGAATTCTACCACTGAACCACCGATGCTATATAATCGCCCATCGATAAAGAATGTTTTTATATTCTCTGAGATGATAACATTCAGATAGTTCAAGTAACACTCAGCTGGGTTGTTTTCTCATGTCACCACAAAGATAGTCCCACCTTCGTCAGAACACGCGATTTCATAATTTTAATGGTTCATACACGTAATATAACTATTTATGTTGACTGTGTGTATGTCCAGAAAATGAAAATGATCCGACTATTAAACAGCAACGCAGCTAGTATTTGTTTAGTTATATTATCGCCGTTCACTAGTTTAGAGTATGGTAACATCTCTCAAAAACATAATCTTCAATGATGAGGATTACAGATCAAATGATATTGATGGTTTGAACGGCCTTCGTATCACCCAGTCGTCATTGAAGCGCCTCGTCATTAAGGGTGTCATTTATACAAAATTTGGTTATAAATGACATAATTCGTGTTTGTTACAATGATGCAGTTCCATGGTAACATAAAATAGAATTTTTTTTTTGTGTTACTGTATCGTATTTTGAGAACTTATGGTGAGATATCGTTAACACAATGTGTTTTTAAAACAATTACACAGAGCATAGTGAATGCAAAATAGCATTTAGTGTCATTGTTTTTAAAACCCAGTCCAGACAACTCAATTCGAGACAATATTTAATTATAAATTAAACTGACAAAATAGCTACAATTAAGTTAACGAAAATACAAACATCTTTTATAGACGAATATACTGGCTACCCCTAACTTTTCTCATGTGTTTGATTCTCGGCAGATGTACCCGTCTTTTATGATGAAAACATTTCGACTTAGTTCCATTCCTTCGAGTTGCACGCGCTTTCGTTATCAACTGTATACTCATTATTTCTGCTAGGGGATATGTTCACAGTATCTGATAAAGATAAAGATTTCGTTTTAATTTTCCTAGATAAAGTGTCATCTTCTGGCACATTTTTTGTTTTCCGCCTTTTTGTTAAAGGGCGGTGGTCGTCGTGCCGCGTCCTGTTCGATATGGGACTCATAGCGACATATACAACGCGTGTCATGAAGATCGAACACGCGCTCCGCGACGACTACCGCGCGCGTTTAAAGTTATGAATCTAATATTTTATTATTTCGCATGTCATTCTATTATTATTTCTCATTCTGTTACGGTTTTCTTCATCACGCAGGGACTGTACCCTAATGTATACATCGGTCACCCTGATCCGGAAGTGCCATGGGAGAACCGTGTTGACACTGTAATGGAATGGTTGAGTGATTACGACATTGACGTCGTCACTCTCTATTTCGACGAGCCCGATCACACGGGACATTACGACGGCCCTGATTCCGACGAAAGGCGGGACATGGTCGTAAGATGCGACAACACACTGGGCTACCTACGTGACCAAATCGAAGCTCACGGACTGACTGGAGTGTTGAACGTCATCATCACGAGCGACCACGGAATGTCTGAAATCAACGACGAGATGAAGATAGAACTGTACGATTATGTCGAACCCAATGACTTGTATCATGTGACTGCCGATTACGGGCCGGTAGCGTTGATTGAACCTAAGAATGGAAAGCTGAACACGGTTTTCGACGCGCTGAAAGACGCTCACCCCAACATGACAGTGTTTATGAAAGAAGATATACCAGAGAGGTTGCATTATCGGGACCATTACAGAATATTGTCCTTATTTGCATATTCAGACAGACCGTGGGAAATAGCAACGGTAAAGTTAATTACAATATCAATGCCATGCAGTGGCGGCGGCACAGAGGGAGAGAATGTTGTGTGTGTGTGTGGGGGGGGGGGGTCGCAAAATCAAGCTGAAACCCTTTGTGTCAGAAGGTCTAGAATTTCAACCTTTTTCAAGGGAGAGCATGCCCCCGAGGTCCAGTTTACGCATATTGTTCATTGGCTAGGATCAAACATGTGTCAGAAGACCGAGAGTTCACAAAAGACAAGTGATGGTGGTAGGACGAACGTAGTATTAAAAGTTGTCAGTAATAAAACAACTACAGCATCAGCATATGCACATAGCTTTGAATGGGTGTACTGGCGTACACATATACCCCAAAAGTAGCATACAGATTTGCTAATTATTCTTTTGAAGCTTTATGATCGATTGTTTATTCTTCTAACGCCGCCAGTCTTTTCTGAGCTCCGTATGGTTCACGATTTGTCCACAGTTTGTTACGGAGGGAAAGTTTGACATATTTATATTTGTACTAATCGATTATTTTTACATTTGTTCCTAACAGAGATGGGAAGAAAATGGTCAAGTAGGGGGTCATGGTTTTGACAATGAAGACCTAACAATGAAGAACATATTTTTAGCAAGTGGACCAGATTTCAAGAAAGGTTTTTTGTCAAAACCGTTTGAGTCCGTAGATATTTACCCCCTCATGTGTCAGATTTTAAATTTGCAGCCCGCCCCCAACAATGGGTCACTTGATAACGTCATAGATTTACTTAATCTTGACGCCAGTGGCGTTAGTTCGAAAGAGATTTCCGGTCTTCTGACATTGGTGTGTTTGGTCATCTTTTTTAATATTTAGTTCAAAACAACATGATGTTTCAATACTATCAAAACACATTGCAATTATATAATAGTTTGTATTTTATTTCAACCTAATAGCAGTGTAATCTTGATTTTGATACAATTGCACACATAATTTTGAAGACACAGTTATGGTGACCAAATAAACATAAAAAGTTCGTAAAATTGCAAGAGTGTATATCGCAACAGCACCGTAAAATTCAAATTGTCATGTAAGTGAAAGTGAAAAATGCTTATGATTGTGTCCCATAAAAGCAAAGGCATTGTGTGCATAATATTTTATCGATATACCTGTTCAACAGTTGCTGTGCTATTGACCGAACTCTGAGACCAGGTTACGCTCTGATGTCATACTGGCAAGATAATCTGACCAATAGATCGTTTTCACATCGTTTACAGCTGGTTCATATGATATCCTCCTAACATAGGAGGCTTCAAATGAATTTTCTTCATTTTTTTATACTTGATACATGCAGGTATAAGAACAACTTAGGTCAAATAAACACGCAAATCTACCAACTTTGCAATCGCTTTGCACAACTTTGAACGCTGGTTTATCAGCTTAGAGTAATAAGGTCAGACTGCAAAAAATGTTTGTTCATTGAAAATACAAGCATATTTTAAAACTTTCTATGAAATTGAAAATTTCAAAATAATTTCAACTATTTTCTACAATAAATATTCGATATTAGAGTAAGAAATAATGCACAAAAATTGCTCTATTGTTTTTTTCAATGTTTGTTGCTCTTTATTTTTTGATCTTTATTATAGTAATCGGTCTATAACCTGACCACTCATTTATGAGAATCATTTATAAGAATTTATTGAAATTGGAGACCATTTAATGTTTGGAAAAATTTCAAAATTCTACATCTTTCGGGAGCCACTACGATATTCAAAAGCCATTTTACGAGTTATTTATTCATTTTTCCGAACTTTTAACTACAGGTCTCGATAATGTAACAACATAGGTAACATTTCCATGTAAATCTAACAACTTTGCCTGAGCTTTTCGCAACTTTGTAAACACTTTGTTTATCCTCTTAGGCTCGGGTAGTGGTACAAAGTGCGAACATAAATGACTTTTTTTAGACTTTTACATATTGTTTTGTAAATTTAACTGTGGGGTTCTATATGACATGACTTAGGGGAAATATACACGCATATCTACCAACTTTTCATCGCTTTTCACATTTTAGGCTGTTTTTAAATTTTACGGCTCGCTCATATAAGAGGCTGCTAAAATCGAAGGCTTCAAATGGATTTTATTCATTTTTCATACTTTGTAACGGCAGGGTAGCAACAACTTCGGTCAAATAAAAATCGCAAATCTACCAACTTTGCAATCGCTTTGCATAACTTTGCACGTTGTTTTAATAGCTTGGAGCAGTTAGGCGCAGACTGCAAAAACTCTCTGTTCATTGACAATACAGGCATATTAGTATTTTAAAACTTTCTATGAACTTGAAAATTTCAAATAATTTCCACGACTTTCTACCATAAATGTTCGACATCAGAGTAAGAAATATTACTCAAAAATTGCTTTACTGTCTTTTCAATGTGTGTGACCCAACCTCCAAAAATCACTCGCTGGTTTTCTCAGGTTGTCTCCTATGCATGTACCAACCACGACCGATTGATCTTTACATTTGTGATCGGTCAATCACATGATCACTAAGCTATGAGAGGCATTTCAAATTTATTCAAATTTGCGACCATTTAATGTTTGGAAATGTTTCAAAATTGAACGTATCCCAATGCCATATTTTTCCCTGGAATTTCGGCATTACGACTTTAAACTATAAAAGAAATTCAAGTTCAAAATCAAAAGATTTTATTTTTGCAGCAGACGTTTGGTTCGCGCCTTTATCGCATTATGCAAGATCTCGCAGTGAACGGGAAATCACCTATGAACGTGACATGTAGCACTAGTATTGTCTCCTTCCCCATCTAGATTTTCCGATTCTAGCTTTCGCTGTTATTGCCAAATCCGACGAGGTTTTCGGTTATTGTGAGTTGCGTCATCGTGGTTTTAACGAGGGATCACAAGGTGAGATTTTTGACATCAAGTTTGTCAATGTTTCATAAATTCAAAAGTGAAATAGGCATAAATGTTTTACACGTAACTGAGGTATTGGAAAATCAGAAAACCGGACAATGAATGTCATTTTGACAACACAGACGTGCCCATATACTGCAGATACTGCAGCTGTCCCGCCGAGGAAATAGAAAACGGTTTACTCTCATCTGCTGTCCGTGAACATTGATGAGCAACACCTGTGAGAAATAACAAAACAGAAAATTAACCCTTTTCAGTCAAATGTACCCAGAAACCCCCATATTCCATTCATTGTGACGATACTGAAAAAAATGATGAAAATGGACACAACCAATTCAACTAAAAATCTGTCAAAATGTTCTCAATAAATTAGATACTGTAAACACATTATACGCTGTTATTTCCGTCGTTAAGTAAGATGTGCTAAAATTAAATCCACGTAAACAGGTAAAATAACAATATAACTCTTTGTTTCCCTGCCAAGTTCGTGGACATAAAACCCAGTGAAATTTGTCAATGCATTAAAATAGAGAAATTGAATGTCAGTGAAAATAAAGGGTTTTACAGTACGTCACCATCATCAAATAGTGGGTATCCGCTGATGGGGAAGACAAGCGCAACGATATAGAACGGTATCAAAACGCAACTTACGAAATAGAACATAGATGCATCAGTCGCAAAACATTACGGTTAATAGCCTACTTGGTTTGTCAATAACATAATATCTGTTTTTGAAAAATATGATTTGCGTTTTGTAATCATAATTTAGCAAATGGAGTAAAAAAAAATGTTGTCAATCTTCTTCATCACCTGCCAGCTAACATGCAATTTTTTGTGTTTCAACCATTCAAAGACACGACCAGGTGCTCGTTATTTGTTTACTTATCTACCAATTGTTAAATAGTTAACGAAATTTAAAATGTAGTTCACAAATTGCAAAAAAGAATATCATTATTATTCAACAATTTAGATAACAAAAAATAAGAAAATCTGCCACTGAACCACCGATGTTGGCAATTTGTTATCATTATTCCAGTGTATTGTTTTAATAATTTCCTAAAAGGCTGAATGTTAACAAGGATCTACTTTTTAGTGGTTATTTGTAAATTAATTTTCGCCTCCCCCTAAATCCGCGCTTGAAAAAGTCGGACAGTTTACATTTTTTTTAAATGATTTACGTGTAAATTTATTGTATTTCCCTTCGTCCCTTAACAACGTGTTGTTGAGGAACTGTGTATTTTCAGGGTGTTTTGATTTTTGATTGAAAATAAATAAATTCATATTACTAAACAAATACTCTTCAAAATACATGCTTTAACCGACCATCGTTATCCCGGCGTTGGAACTTTTTGGAAAAATAACGCATTTATTGGTTTTGATAAAATGCAGATGCATCGGCCGGGAATCGAACCCGGGCCTCCCGCGTGGCAGGCGAGAATTCTACCACTGAACCACCGATGCTATATGAAAGTAAACGAATGTTTTCATTAATTCATCATAATCTCTCAGATGATAGCGTTCAGATAGTGCGATAAACAGCTGGCATGTTTTCCCATGTCACCGCAAAGATAGCCCCCACCTACGTCAGAACAAGTGATAACATTATTTTAATGGTTCATGCATGTAATATTATAATTATTTATGTTGACTCGGTGTGTGTGCCGAGTGACCAGTCATGTGACTTAATACTAGTGAAAAATTATCAACTTAGCTATTTGCTCACGTCGTGTATTACCATTCATTAAATAGAATCTTATTTTCAGTGCAATTTGTAATTTGGCGTAAACTGTAATGATTAAAAAAAAGAAATACATGCAGTGAATCATGGAGCTCCATGAGTGAATATACCAACAATGCTAACAGGCGTCAGAACTTTAGTAAATAGTTACCTTTGCTAAGGCAAAGCATCCCGACGTTGGAATTTTGGGAAAATAACAAATTGTACAAAAGCCAACCTAAAGTATATCATTATTAAAGTGTTTGTTAAAAGTTACATGCATCGGCCGGGAATCGAACCCGGGCCTCCCGCGTGGCAGGCGAGAATTCTACCACTGAACCACCGATGCTACATACAGGTCTTACATTATTGTTTAGTTGTGATTGTTATTGTACGTACAAAATAACTAGTACGCATGCGTATGAAAGATTTCATAATTTCATCGAACGAATATTCAGATGTCTGCTACAAAAAAAGGCGTTTTCATTTCAGGAAAAAATCATATTTCTATGTATCTGTCTATGTTCAGAATCAAACAACAATACCCAAAAGTATACATATTCTTCAAATCAAGCTGAAACCCTTTGTGTCAGCAAAATTTCCCCCTCAAAATGCAGGAAATAGCGTTTTTGGAGGTCTAGATCTCCAAATTTTTAAAGAGGAGCATGCCCGGACCGCTAGTAATGTCGCGCCTTCGGCGCAAGGTTGGTGAGCAGATACCCCCCCCCCCTCCGTGCAAAATTTAGTGCCGCCGTCTCTGCTGTCTGGTACGCCTGCCAACACGTACATGGCAACTATGTTTGGTGAGAACCCTTAAACTTAAAAGTGCAAGATTAAATCAGTGATGCTCTCAGTTTTTATGAAGATCAGTGTATTTGTGATCTCCAATCTCAGTAGTAACTGACTAACTGCTGAAATCGCACCATAATGACAAGCATGTCTGTTATACAATCATAAGGCTGTAGTTCCGCAGTAACTTGAAATAGTATTTATTTGTGTGTTATAAGAATTTTGAGAAAAAATGAAAATAGAAATTGCTATTCTTAGAATAATTGCTAGAACACAGTGAACGTAAAGGAAAATATCATTTCTTGTCATTTAAAAAAACAAACAGACATCAAGTTTACTAAAGCAAGCACCAGTCAAGAGACTAGTCCACAATTCGAGACAATGGTGAATCGTTATACATGTAATACTAACAAAATGGCCGCCATTCACGAACATACAACCAACATTTTCTAGAAAAATAGGCAGGTGAAGATGTTCACTGTTTTCGGTAATACTTTTTTTTCAAAATTAAACGTTTTCGTTGAACACGACAAATCTATTTTATAAATAAAATAAAGTTGCCGTAGACTGAGTTTAAACGCCTTTTTTCACTTACAAAATAATAATTTATGCTTAGAAACATAAAAATTAATTAATAATAACATTAATAATAGTTATGTACCAATGGATAATTTTAGGCTGAAAATAGCAGCCATTTCACAGGCACTTTAAAAAAATTAAACAAGGTGACTAAAATCAATACAACTACTTGTATATTGCCTTCTTAAGAAAAGAATAGCATCAGGGAAAAGCAAAAAGTAACATTCGTTTTGTTTCATTACATGTGATGAAAAATCATTTTCGTTACTTTTATCTTCAAAATATGTTGTTTTCCCATCACAAAAAATCCATTTGTTGTTGTTTTAAGATTGACTGAATAACATATCAAAAAACTTAAAAACTAGCGAGTAATTTGGAATCTGTACAAGCTGAAACAGTTTAGTGAAATCTATTTTTTGTGTCGAATTACATTATTCTCAGAAATAAAACTATTAACAACTCTAACAATCCGTTTATGTCATTCATAAACAGAGTAATTCGTCGCTGATATTATTCCACACATTGTATAGATTCTTAAGTTACATGGTGTGCTAGAATATCTACCGAGTTCAATTGGTAGTTATTGAGTAGAAATTCTTAATTTAGTATATGCGTTTTTATGTTTTAGGTTAGTAATCAGAGGTATGTTATCTAATTTTCCCGTAACAATTTGTTGAATTCAAATTGCGCCCTCGCCGATGACCAGTCGGTGGATGTTTGTTTGTTGTGTGGTATCTCCAATTCAGCGCACTGGTCTTTGCGCAGCACACGTTTGAGAGAGTTCTTAGTAATCTAAGCTTTGATTTCATCAGTAGAAAAACTCATTTATTTCAACCACTATCCAGACAAATCATGCCGAAGAATAAAGGTAGGACACTTCTTGATATGTGCTGCCCACGACTGTCATGGGAATCGTCTACAATTATTTTACAGTAACCGTTTGGGTCGTCGCTGTGATGGGTGAAAATTTCCCCTTCTCTCTTAAAATTCCATATTGTTTGCAAATCTTTGTTTCCGGTATTTCTAAACAACGCATTTCTCGAATTATTAGATTAAAATGTTTACATGTCAGTATTATAACGGAATGTCAGAAAAAGCGCCTCTTTAGACACTCAGTATATGGATTATCGAGCGTTCTCTGTTGTCCAAGTTAGTTTTCTATCATGTAATTATTTTCACCGGAAAGAAAATCGAGTTGAAGGTCATTCATTTGACACTTCTGTTGTTATGATATTCTTAGACGTCTACGTCATTCTATATCTGTTATTTTTATGACCATATAGAAATTTCATCTGATCTTATTAAATGAGTATTGAAGGCGTATTCACATTCTGAGTCACTGTATTTTCACCGACCGAATCACAGATTTCTGTAATTGTGTCGTCGTTGTTTTTTTTCGCAAAATCGATTGTGAAATGTTGATTGCGAAACCAATGAAATATTGAAAAACATGATGTTCAATTGCTTTAATTTCTCGAAAAGCGTCATTTTCCATATAATCCAAGAATTTTCAATAAGGTCCAATAAGACAAAAGGTCACATTGTTATTCAGGTAAATTTTCTATTTGATTCCCATAATTGTAAGAGTTCCTTAGGGCCCTTTCATCCACAACTCCAATCCTAACCCTGCCCATCTATATACTGTACAACAGTTTATTTTCACTGGCATTTAACTTCACTACTTTGACATTTTGAGCATATTCACTGAGTTTTTGAATTTGCCATGGAAACAGTGAGTTCTTTTGTTATTTTCCATGTTTATGTAGATTTAATTTTACTTGTTTACGCAAACAGCGAAATTAAAACCCATTGAATAATTAATGCAGTAGTTATCTTGCAAGACATATTGTATGGAAAGAATTCCTTCAGGCCCCCTCACCGCCGAACCCAAACAATCCTGCCCAATGTAATTTTATATGCCCTTCCAAATAACTATAAGTGACACCTGAAGAAGGGTATATACAATTGAAATGGGGGAGAAGCACTGGAGGAGCATGGTTAGTTATGGGGGGGGGGGGGGGCAAGGAACTCTGAAAGAGTTTCTTTTGTACCCCCCATTCCTAACCCTACCTCTACCCATTTATTTGTACATGCCCCTCCTAAGGACATCTATAATTATCTGGAGGGGTATATACAAATGAATTGGGTAACTGGGAGTGAGTGTTAGGGATGGGGGT